GCAGGCGGCTATGGTAAGGGGCATGACATTTCCCCACCAGGCGCCGAGTGCTGCCAATCACAACACACACTGGCCCAGCTAACCAATCACAGCACACACTGGCCCAGCTAACCAATCACAGCACACACTGGCCCAGCTAACCAATCGCAGCACACACTGGCCCAGCTAACCAATCACAGCACATTTCGTATTTCAGAAGGCGGGCCTTCATTTGATACAGCAACTATTAGAGCCGTTCATGCCAGACTGGGGAGAGAGGTGTTGTAATAATGTAAAATATGTGAAAAATTATGTGTTTTTCGAACAACATAGTATGAGAGCCTGTTCTAGTACACCCCCAAAACAAAATCAAGACTTTGCAAAAGAGCATAGGACAAAATAGGACCCCTTTCACAATCTGCAGCACTGCAAAACTTCAGTGCTGTAGCTGTAATAGTCCTGTGTTACACCCTGGCTTGTGCATGGCTGTATGTGCCAGTTAAAAGCAGCTGTTTCTCATAAGTTCATGTGACTGAGAGAGACTGCAGATGGGTCATGACATTACTGACATAATAATGTGTCACAGCAGGACCCCATTAGCCATAGAAAACGCTTACCATTCATACCATTTGCAATGCAGTATCCAGAGGCGTAAAAAAAAAATGATGACAACAATATGTATGTAAATGGTTGTTTTTAAGCTGAAATTCAATCTTCTAAATGGACCCAATGGACACCAGATCTCATGGTGGCAGTTTTCCAAATGTTATAAGCCTTGTTTTAGGTTTCAGGGTGTCTGTCTAAGTGCCTGTGGAAATTATGTGCCCTCAGCATAGTTTGACATCTTCTTGCTTTTGGTGCAGTGGGGTCAGGAGATATACTTAGCAAGTCAGCTCCTCGCAGTTCAACACTTGAGCTCCTTGGAGAAATCTAAGAGGGTCCCTGAACATGGCCGGACCACACAAGCGATTAAATCTAGACCGGCTTGACCTTACATGGAGGCGATGAGAGCCCTGGATTCAGAAAGAGGAGCTGATGGGTGGGCTGGGTGTGAAAGTGCAAGCCTGAAATGGTTCAGGGTCCCGTAGTGAGAGTGCTGGGGGGTTCCTGTGTTGTCTTTGTGAAAAATGAAATGGTCAGGCCCGATATATTTGTAAGTAGTAGGAACAGCTGGGATGATTGAGATGGGTAGATTTTTTAAAATCTAAATATGTTGGAAGTTCTCATTGAAAAGTCTCATGTTTTACAAAGAAAACTGGCATTCACAATAATAAACCCATTAATAATACTAAAACAAAGCATACTTTGTTATATTATGTTATGATAAATTATTACATACAGCATACATTTCAAATGTTTATAATCAGTTAGAGAATCAAACATTATAGCAAACAGAACGTTTTTGGACGTTATTAACTGTACCGTGGTAGTTCAATTTAATTTCAAGGTAATACAAATTCCATGGTTTGCCATATTAATAACCAGCTGTTTCAGCCATCAATGTTTTACATCCTTGATTAGAGTATTTTCACTAATGTTTACCAAAGTGAAATGAACTAAGAAATATACCACGTAATTACCATGTTTTATTTTTTGGGGCATGGTACTATGGTATTACCATGGTATTTTCCAATGGGACCTTGTAAATGAAATGGTACATGAATATGATACTGGAATCATTTAGTAAAATTTCATAAAAAAGTACCATGGTATTACCATATGACACTATTACTGTATCGTGGGACTACTTCAGTGTAAGTTGTTTATTATAATAACTTTTTTAATAACGTAATTTAAATCTTCCTTTATGTAATGTAATGTAAACTTATTGCAGACAAAATTGCTATATTAACACATTTCTAATGTTTCTATTTTAAATAAATGTTTTTTTAAACTTTCTATTCATCAAAGAATCCTGAAAAAAATGTATCACAGTTTCCACAAAAATATGAAGCAGGACAGCCGTTTCCTACATTGATAATATTCAGAAATGTTTGCAGCAAATCAGCATATTAGAATGATTTCTGAAGATCATGTGGCACTGAAGACTGGAGTAATGATGCTGAAAATTCAGCTCTGATCACAGCAATAAATTACATTTATATATTATATATCATATTACAACAGAAAACTGTTATTTGAAATTCAAATAATATTTCACAAAAATATTGTTTTTACTGCATATTTAATCAAATAAATCCAGCCTTGGTGAGCATAGGAGTCTTCTAAAAAAATGTAATCTTCCAGACCCAAAGCATTAGTGTACGTGGTAATACATTTAGCTGTTCAGGAGTGCTGCAACGCTCAAAAACACAAAGGCAAATACATATGTATACACAAATCTTTAATGCCATGCCATTCAACACTGGGACAATGTACAATGTGCAAAACAGTCCAGGAAAAATATTTTGATTGGAACGGGAGGTTCACAGGATAGAAAGATGTTTGGCAGAGAAATTTTAAGACATATGGGAGAATAACCACAACACATCTTAAGCCTCGGACTCAAACATCTTCTTCCTGCCGTCCATACCAGCCTTATCCTCGATGTTCTTACGCCAGTCGCCGACTTGTTCTGCAGACTGTGGAAACACAAAACATCAGACATGAGCACAGCGTGCTGACAGGAGGGTCCAGACCAAATACATTCCACTTGGAGATTTTCCCATGAAATGGGTAACGTGGCCAAGCAGAGACAAGAAACATTTCTGAATCTGCAACCCACCTCCTCTTTGACCTCCTTCTTGACTTGTTTGAGGTTGGCTCTCAGGTCCATGGAGACCTTGTGTTTGGAGCCCAGCAGAGCCTGAAGCATAGCGTCGGCTGACATGCGCACTTTCTTTAGTGCAGGTTTCTTGAACTTGCCCTTCAGGTCGACCACCTTGATCTTCAGATCCTCAATCTAGAAACACATTAAACCACAGTCAAAATGGAGCTCAGACAACCCAATATTTATTAATAACAACACTCAAATGGATGAATCACAGAACATACGACAACACTGAGGTGTGGTGATCTTTACCTCCTTGTCTGACTTGGCAACCTTTGCATTAAAGTCATATCTCTCCTCATCAACCTGGTCGATCTGTTGGTGAAGCTTCTTGCACAGCTCCTGGAAGGCCAAAACAAGATTATACATGATATTCTATCTATCTATCTATCTATCTATCTATCTATCTATCCACCTCATTCTATCTATCTATCTATCTATCTATCTATCTATCATCTATCTATCATCTATATATCTATATATCTATCTATCTCATTCTATCTATCTATCTGTTGGTGAAGCTTCTTGCACAGCTCCTGGAAGGCCAAAACAAGATTATACATGATATTCTATCTATCTATCTATCTATCTATCTACTATCTATCTATCTATCCACCCATCTCTATCTATCTATCTATCTATCTATCTATATATCGCATTCTATCTATCTATCTATCTATCTATCTATATATATATATATATATATCTCATTCTATCTATCTATCTATCTATATATCTATCTATCTCATTCT